CTTTTGTATCCTTCCCTTCAAGGCTCAGGGGTCCAAGATTATCTTCTGTGTCTGTGTTAATTGGTTTCCCTTTTCTTTCTTGAAGAGTGTCTGTGCAGTCCTTGTGCCTAGTCCACCATCTTGCCAGAACCCCATAGAATATATTTCTGCTACTAAAATTACTGAGTCAATTTTAAAAGGAATTTGAAACATCTTTCAACATTGCCCTCCCTAAAATCTATACAATGTCATACACCCACCAGCATGTCTGAGCGTACCTTCAGGACATCTTTTGTCTTACCTGTAGACTAATCAGCACTGTGGGTCTCCATGGAAAAAGACACTGGGTAAATCCCACCACTTGACATTTTCTGAGAACCTCAACATTTGGAGTCATTGTCAGAGTCAATGGTCCAGCCCTAACATGAACTGAATTCAAAGTCCATAAGGTTCAGGGGTCTAAAAGCACAGGGTTCAGTTAGGAGCACACCCAGGACTCAAACTCAGGACTGAAATCACCATGTGACTCATTGAAGGAACACTGAGTCAAGGGATCAGAAAAGAACTCACCCCATCCCTGGTTCACATACTCTCACCCCTATACCCACATCATCTCTTTGGACAAAGCTTTGTTCTGCAGCAGCCCCGCAGGGAAGACAGGGACACTGTTGTGGTTATAAGGCCAAAGCTGGGGTTGATTCTGCTTCACTCTAGTGCAACTTGGTTCTGTTGCCTGTGGCCTTGGGTGGTTATTTAACCTTTCTCAGGCTCATTTTCCTCAAGAGAGGAAAAGGTAATAACTGTGTCTATTTCATCGAGTTTTATGAAGATGACATAGATACCAAAAGCCAAAAAACCAAACTCACTGCTGTCGAGTGGGATCCGACTCACAGCAACCCCTCTTTGGGTTTCCAAAGCAGTTGTTGTTATGTGCCATCAAGTTGGACCCTACTCATAGTGACCTCTCCTTGGGTTTCGGAGACAGTATCACTACGGAAGTAGATTGCCCAACCTTCCTTCCAAGGAGTGGCTGGTGGCTTTGAACCGCCAGCAATCTGGTTAGCTGTCAAATGCTGTAGGCACTACATCACCAGAACTCCCTGACATAGATTGTTGTTGTTGTTGTTATGGAGTCAACCTCGGCTCATAGCAACCCCTCCTTGGGTTTCCGAGGCAGTATCACTACAGAAGTAGGATTGCCCAACCTTCCTTCCGAG